AGATTGGATTTCACCCCTTTTTTAGGCAAACAATTAGCCGATTGGAACTTGGCCCCCTTTTTAACAGGCATGTTTTTGTTGAGATTTCAATACTTTTTTTCAAGAAATCATACATACAATCGTACTATACAGCCGTACAATGCATAACTTACAGCATGAAACATACAGCTACCATCTGATGGCATAGGAATTACCCTATGTGGTATATCTCCGTCAACCACCGAAAGATGTACAATTTCCATCGTTGGTAAATGAATAGTAGAAAAGAAATAGAGTGAATTTATACCGCTAGCGCCATCTATCGAAAGTAATTTATAACAATAGAAACCTGATTTTTTAGGTAAGCAATATTTAATTAAGTTATACAGTGTGCATTATGTATACATAACAATATTTTATATCCCTTATATATATATATATATCAGTTTTTAAGAAGCGCCCCACACTTTTTTCACAATAATATTAATTTAAAAATAAATTAACAAACAATAAATGGTATTTTTGTGAAAAAAAGCGTGATGAGCTTCATATATCACTTCTTAAGAAGCGCCCCACGCTTTTTTTTTCAATAATACCATTTATTGTTTATTTTAAACAATTTAAATTAAATTGATTTCCAAGGTTGTAAAGGTTAAATTAGTTTCCACGCGGTTTCTTTCATCATTGGAGCGTGTTTTTTTAGTTTTTTTTAAACTATATTTATTTTTTAGTTTCATTTATCACCGATTGATAGATGTACTCATATTATTAATTATTAATATTTCATTATTATGTATTTTATTGTGCTGAGCTGAGCGCCTATATAAAGGTTTTGATTACCTGTCAGTGAGTCCGTGCCAAAATTAGCTATTTTCACAGGGTCATATTTCAGGATCTACTGAAGCTTTATCTATGAAATTTGGCATACTGCTTTAGGACTAGTATATGATTACGTAGGTAAAATTTTATCTCTGTACTTGCAATAGAAACTGAGCTACAGGGGGTCAAAAGTGGGTCGAATTTATTAAAAATTCGATATTTCGAATTGAGGCAACTCACGCTTGACCGATTTCTTAAATTTCTTAATTTTTTGTTAGTCTACATATAACACACAACCTGTGTACCAAATTTCATAATGCTAAAACAATGGGAAGTGGCCTAGAGGTTTTGATTACCTGTCAGTGAGTCAGTGCCAAAATTAGCTATTTTCACAGGGTCATATTTCAGGATCTACTGAAGCTTTATCTATGAAATTTGGCATACTGCTTAAGTACTAGTATATGATTACGTAGGTAAAATTTTATTTCTGTACTTGCAATAGGCACTGAGCTACAGGGGGGTCAAAAGTGGGTCGAAACGGTTCGTGTAAATATAGTGCACGGCATGCGCCGGCCTGTGGAACTTGGCCGGCGCACTACCGTGCGCTTAGATATCACTCTCTTTTGAATGTAATCTCTCAATTTTCTTTATTTATAACCGAAAGTTAGTGTTTGGGAGATACGTATTCTATAAGTAATTTGATGATAAATCACGATAAAATAAACAATACTTTTCAAGGGCTTAAAATTAAAAATGTAGTCAATACAAAATAAAATTTATGTAACAGAAGTTATTAAAGTTGTAGAGTTATCTCCAAGTTTTAAGGACATTAAATATTAAAAAAGGTTACTTAATCTCTCTCATGGTATCTCGACTGTCCTGAATCAGAACTGTTATATTCAATCGAGGTGTCGATATTACAGTGCCTGTAACTTTCAGTCATGACAAATGAGTTTTAGTCAAAGTTCAGAAACAGAACGCTGTTTGATTTTAAGCGTTCTGTTATTATTTTTATGCTTGGTCATATTAATCAAGAAATAATAAAATAAAGTTTATCAAGCCAAGCTAGTTGGAGCAGTCTCCTGTTCTACGTATTGAGCCTATGGCATTGTAGTTAAAATGACCGAATTCTGTACTATTTCTTTTTAATTTGAAACAATCTTAATTAATTCTACGTTTTACATTTCGGGATCATACTTATAAAGAAATCAAGCATCGTGAAGAGAATTATTTTATTAATACTGAATAATGATATTTCACTATAATTTATATTAATTTAGTTCTGGAGATTCAGAATTTGTCGTATCTTTTTCAGTTCTCTATTTAGTTTTAGTAAACTTTAACATACCTTACTAAGCGAACATACAAATGTGTTTAGCAAGTCAGTTGTTTGAGCGAATTAAACGTGAGATATTTGACTGGGCGAATACCAAGGCGTTTTTTATTGTATTACTTAATTGTTTGCCAATAAGCGATTGGAACTAATATAATTTAAAACAGCAGACGTGATGAAAGTAAAGTGTATGTCACTTTTGTTTATCTCAACCGTTCTATAAGTTTCTAGCCTACTGTTCTGGATGCTTGCAGAAAACTCTGTGTCTTGAGATCTGGCGGTGTGGTTACGATTGTGAGAGTTTATAACTTTGTTGATTATCTTGTTATGTGACGGTGTAATAAGTGGACGTTTAATTAAAATATAATAATCTTTATACGGTGTAATCGTAGGACGCCTTAGCTTCTGGGTAAACTACTCTATTCTACACGGGTCTGACTCAGCAGTTCCGTGTGAAGACAGTTTTTGGTTTTTTATTTCTTTTATGTTTTAAGATTATAATATTTCTTGTAAGAATTTCATTAGATTTATTGTCACTATTTGTTCAGTCTTGTGCAACATAATCGCAAACCTAGTTGTAACTTACTTTATAATTAAATTTAAGTCATAATTTTGGTTTCATTGCATCCACCGACCGTCGAAATCATAATTATCTCCTAGGTGTTGGATAATAATCAGCTATGTTTTCTATTGAAATAAACATGTTTTCATTTCAAAAGCACTTCAAATAAATATCGATATATCGTTCTTTTCATGAGAGAAAATATATGGTTTGACCACTGTGTGTTTATACAAAAATAATACTTTAAATATCTTAAATAACTTTTTATGACATTTATATGTTGTTATAATTTTAAAATTTTCCAAGTTATTACCGTATCTGTCGGCAACTCCCTTTACATACGGGAATGTGGGAGGCTGTTACTTAATTGAGCGTACTTTCATATTATTCTTATGATCCTTTTTGAATGTTCTCGACTTGCATCGTTATATCGTGGTGGGTGGATGAAACCATTAGCTATAATTTTACTGAAACATTCCTATTGTAATTTTTTGCAAACTACTACAAATACAAACGGGATTTTTTTGGAATATTCTATTTTCTGGATTATTACGTATGAAAAAAGCTAGGTCGGTTTTGAGTGAGTTTTTCAAGAATCGATGTACAAGCGTTACGAGCGGTATAAGCGTAATAACCTGAGATATTATTTGCGATCATAATAAGACAAATCTTTGTATTTTATATTAAATACCGCGTTGATATTTGTTAATCAAATACTAGCTCGTAATTATTATAAAGGTTCTTAAAGTTATGGTAAAATAGCTTGATGATTATAAAATTAAAATAACTTATTAATAATGTAAAACACATAGACAAACAGTAATATTCGATTGTGAAAAATAGTTGTTACATATAAAATTTTACAGCCAAATTCACTTGAGGTCCATTTTCAATATAGAAGCAGAAAAACAATCATTATTAGGTTTTTTTACCATTACAGATAAACTCGATTGGATTACTGATCATCCCACCATTCAAAACGGAAAAAAGCTAATCCTGCAGTCTTTTCTGAAGCTATGGTGGCAATCGGTAAGTAACAATCCAGTTATGAAGAATAATCTTTTAAAGTGATCATACTGAATAGATTGGCGAAGACATTTTTTATACATAGATAGTAGATTTTTATCGATATTTATTATTGACACCTGGTCTATGTTAGTATTAATTCGAATATTTCGATAGCAACCACCACTCAGAATATTTTTGAAAAGGGGCTATTTCTAAAATTTTCAGTACAATTGTAAAATATATTTTTTTAACGTATCCGACTATATCGTTTTGTTAATCGTCTACTAAGACTTTTTAGAAACCTGAAAAAGAAAATGAACGATTTAAAAACAATTTAAAATAAATTTCTCTCAAATATTTGTTTAACTCGGTGTAAATCCAAATAAATACAATAAGGGAATCAAGACTAATTACGAAAATCACTTTCATTTCTAATCAATGTGTGCGACGCCATAGGCTCTATTGTCAGAACGATTTTACTACAATATTAAACATATCCCACGCTGTTTTTATATCTCAGCTTTTAAGAATGAGCCTAATCTGTCTCTTTGATCATTTTCTCGACTTTAAAATGATTTGAGAGCTCTATAAGGAATGAAGTTTTCTTCCGAGTTTTGATATTAAATAATGATTTAAAAAAAAAACACTTTTTTATAACACACAACAAAAAAAAAGTCTTTATTTTATTTCGTTTCAATAAATAAATAGTAAGTCAAAGAAAGTCGATTGTAAAGGTTCATATACATATAAATACTATACCTACTACGCGATTTTTATTTTTGATAAAAAACTACATACTCCCGATTTTTCGACTACTTTACAGCAACCGTGATCACGGGCAGACGAGATATTAATATAAAATATTAGTTTAATTTAAATGAATAAGACTCCCGAAAATCTTAGATCTCATTATATTTATGTGTTTGTAATAAACAAATACCGTAGATAGCCAAGACATGCAGAATGATATTTTTTTAATTAAATTTCCATTGCTCTTAACCCGGCGTCATTGTTGCCGGGTATCTAATACCCGACGCATTTTAAAACTGTCATAATTTTAAAACAAAATGCGCGAATCTTTTGTCCGTTACAGTAGCTGCGGTCGTTGACCTCTATTTGCGTATTCTCTTCTCTATTTAGTGTTGCTGCGGCTACCTCGTAATGTAAAGGTGTGTAAAGAGCGCGCGGGTAAGTTATACCCGGCCACAATGGCCTCGTAACATTTATAAAGACAGCGTGTTTGTTGTTTTTTATTGTTTATTGATAAATTGCATATCGTTTTTCACAGTTTTATGAACCATGTCTTACGAAAGTCAACAACGTCGACTCTTAGCCTTGTTTGAACAAGCTGACGCCAGTGAAAATGAACAGTGCAGTTCAGACGACCAGGGTGAAATCCACCATATTTCAGAGCGAAGTCAAGGCAGTGATACGGAACAGGAATGCAGCGATGATGAGCAAGAAGTAATTGTTTCAACAAGTAACCAGCAGTTTTATATTGGTAAAGACAATTCCACCAAATGGTCTTCGCAACCACCTCGAACCAACGTCCGCACAAGGTCAGAAAACATAATTTTACAAAAACCTGGGGTAAAGCCTATTGCGTAAAATGATAAGACTGAAATAGAGTGTTGGAAACGCTTTATAAATAATAATATGCTGGAACAAACCGGCGTGATTTCCTTAGAAAACTCGGTCTATCAATGCTTGAAGGTCATCTTCGCGTGAGAAAAAATATGGAGAACTTACCGAGAGGCTTACGTAAACATATTCACGAACAAGTCGGTGAAATGACGACCTACCCTCCGAATAAAAGTTCTAAAACATATACGAGATGCAAAGACTATCCTTCTGCCAAAAACAAAAAACTAGGCATAACTGCAATAAGTGTAATAAGCCTATTTGTATACAACACATTATCCCATTATGCCAAAGTTGCGTTGATCTCGATAGCGAATAAGTCGGTATATTATTAGTAAATAAGCTTTGTTTTATATAGTTCATAATTTCATGTTTATGTTCTAAAGAAAATTTTATGTTTTGTCTCTAAATGTCTATTATGTTATGTTTTCGAATAAACGTTTTAAGTTATGTTCTAAAAAATTATCCCAGAATAAAAAGATTTAATTTGATGAGTAATATGCTCATTTTATGATAAATAAATGTTTGATTTTTATTAAGAATGTATTTAACCACCTATTTCCCTATTATAGAAGACTAATATTGACATATGCTTGATTCAGTGTACAATAATGTACATGGGTAAAATTTACCCGGCCACAACGGCCAAGTTCTGTTTATTAGCCACAATGACGCCGGGTTAAAACAGTTTGGAACTTTGGAACTGTTGTAATTTTTTTATTTATGTCTAAAAAATGTAAAGACCGTTGTTTAATACCATAGAACAAAACTGCAATAATTAAAAACGCATTTTTACAAACTAATGAACTAAAATTTCTAAAACTGTCTCTTACAAATATTTATGCACAAATATTTTTAACATAGTCATCCCACAACATTGTTTAAAAGTACAGTTGTTAAGCCTCGCAACTACCCCATGGAATATTTTATGTATTATTATATAACTATCTCACACGTTTGGAATTCATTGCTTGACATTTTTATTAAATGTATTTTTTCAATTTAAGTTCGTTATAATTTGTAAATTGACCTTTTACTTATCTGAATAATAACCATAATTTATAGTTATTAAATATTATATTTAAGGCTAAAGTTTAGATACAAATGTTGTTATATGCATCTAAATTTGAACAGGAGCTAACTTCCTATCAGTTAGTTTACTTAGTAAGCGGATGGAGACAGACGCAGATAAAAGATAAGCCTGGCTATTGAACCTAAACATGGCATGGCTGGATATTGGAAAGAAAATATTTATCGTCAATACAGTTTCATGTGCTTCATAGCATAGAAGAGCATAGCATAGCAAATCGTAGAATTTATATACATACATAGGTTCCCTGTCAATACTTGTTCAGAGTAACGAAATAACTTTGTGTTATTTAATACGGTCGTTAAATTTATAACCAATTTAAATATGAACATAAATTTTAAGACGGGTACCGATAAAATGAAATATCTTTTTTTTTGTTTTAAGTTTCTCATCAAATCTTTATACTACTTTACTTTTAACCACTCGCCTTTAAATTCATTGTGATTTACACTCCGCATGTGTCCTACGAACTTTTTACTTATACATATATTATATAATTACTAAATATGTAAGAGTAAGTACATCCTTTTGGGAAATCAAACTTCAGCTTAATCTGGCTTAAAGGGTATGTTACTTCTATTCATATACAGTACTTTCTGCATTGTTAATTGTTGTTAATAATTAATTAAAAACCACTTACATAATGCTCGTGTTTTTAATATCTTTTTGATATAAATAGTATTTTTTACGAATACCAGTATATTAAATATTTTTTGGTAACACATATGTACATATATACTGCACATGCTATGTAGTATATTAAGTATTTGGCTCAATGTTTTGAACTGATAAATATCATATTTCCGAAGCTAAAACTTACCTTTGGCTTTAAAAAATGTTTTGAAATTCTATTTTAAAGGTCATATAATATTGAACTCTTAATATTTATTGTAATTTAACCTTCACCTTGCTCTTACACTCTAACACGGTATTAATAATCCCATCGAGCCTATAGATATTTATATGGAAATTTAGGAGTAAAATAAGGAAATAATGAAAATTGAATATTAAATATGATGATCTTAAAGATTTTTACTTAAACTCCCTTTAAAAATTGCTATGACTTTTTATACTATCTTCTTGTGATATGAACCGTATCTCCGGTCTTCAATAATTTGGCTATTGAAAAGTATTTTATCACATGAAGAGAAACTATTAGGTACTACAATTCTGGGAGAAACTCAGCTCTCGCTTCTTGAAGTAGATTTTAATCTACTCTCCAAACACTTTTCTCGATGCTGCTTTAAGTGACCCTTTTGAGTTCACAAATAATTTATTTAAATACATATATAACTTTTTTAAATTGTATAGATTACCCCCTTGTGATAATCTTTGCATAGATCCACCAACCGGCGAACCCAATCAAAGTCGAAAGGTAATGAAATAGATTTTGTGAAAGTTTTCAATCGGACTGTGAGTGATTGATACCCTCAGTTTTAGAAATGTTTCGTATGCAAATATATATGTACATTACCTTATCTTATATGGTCAGTGGATTTGATCTCAGACTTGTCAATAAAATGAGGCTTCGAACTCTACCTCACACTTGCGATTAAACAAAAGATTGATATACATTAATAGTTTGTGTCTGTCAAATGTGTACTTTCTCATATATTGTAAAATAATCTTATATTCTTAGCTAGAATATTAGGTAGAACTCATTATTTTGGGTCCTATAATATCTTTGAAGGGTTTTTAGAACTACATTCAAAGAACTATTACTGAAAGTTAAAACAATAGATTTATGTATCAACATGGTATTTACTATACCAAATCGTCATAATCTTGCTAATGGGCTATGTTACGGATTGCTTTAGAGGATCATGGGTTTTTCTTATTAGTCCAACGTTAATTAAGAATATTAATCCAAAAACGTCGGAGCTTCCGAAAGTAGCTACTTCTTAAAATATTGTGTCCTTTTTAAGCTAGTACAAAAGGCACGTTTTCATATACCATGCCTTATACCATATACTTTTCGACTTCATGAGATGATCTCGAAGCTAATAGATCTATCTGGAGTATAGGTTCCTTTTGGAAATCGTCTCAGTAGCTTCGCGTATGAGTTGACATTCCGGGTACTCTTCCACATGGTGAAAAGTGAGTTTAAATAAAGTATATTCGATACATGGGTCTATTTTTTCTTCGTTAAACTTCCAAAGACCATAATAATGGGTTCAAATTTTTTCTAAAGCTATTCCAAAGAAACTTAGAGAGCAAAACAAAGAAATGAAAAAGCACTATAGTCGACTTAACAACCCTCATTTGACCTCACACCTTTATTTCAATTATGGAAAAGGCTTTAGCTTAACACCATTAATGTTTAATATGATTTTACTGAAGGCTAACTAACACTATGTATTAAGACTAAAACAACAGATATGCATATTATATTGCATTGAACGAGGCCGAGTAAGAATTAGTATTTCAATTAAGCAGATGAATATCATTTCCTGATTGACATTCACAATTAACCTCTGAGTTACACCTTACCTTACCTTCAATGTACATTATATTCTGTACAAATTAACTTTTAATCACAGTAAAATTGATAATAAATTTGAAATATTTAGGATTATTTGAAATTCAATGACCTAAAGGACTTTGCGTTTTGCTTTAAGATACAAATTGTCTGTCTAAATATAAAAAAATATAAATACTTCATTGTTATAAGTATAGCGAAACATATTATTTTAGTCACCATATGAAACATAAAAATAAAATTGAACACTAATTTTGGCTTAAAAAATACTAAATAAAAATCTTAAAATTTGTCTTTAAAAAAGGTTAACTATAGAACTATTCTTAGACGTTCGATAATAAAGGTACCCAATTGGTTTACTTGTTTAGATCGATGCTTGTTATAGCCAATTCAGTGGATATCAATGAATGGTTGTTACATTTCATACAACATCTAACGTATTGTGTATTTCAAAAATACTTCTTCAATACAACAAACACGAAACTAACACACAAAGAAATGTTTCATATATTGAGAATTTCATTTGTTGCCGTGACAAGCATATGTGATTTGTTTCATTACATAAAAATATTTTTAAAAAGTTAAAAGTATATAGATCTTCATTCTTCAACCCATCACAAAGTTAAATACATTGCTAATGAAATCACTTTCAATAGGAATTTAAATTAAATCTTGAATTAAAAAAGTTGTCAGGTGTGTAAGTGATGAATGTTTTAATTGTTCATAAAGGCTGGCAAAGATAACATTAAGGAGTTAGGAAAAGTTAGGTTGTTGAGTTGTAATATGATATGGAAAATAATATAGCAAGCATTGTAGCATCAGATTGGAATTATTGTTTGGATTCAATACTCATAGAGCTTAATATTTAATATTCCACAACTTTTTTATTCCTATCCATTAAAGGTATATTTTTCTTTTAAAAACAAATAATATTTGATTTCTTTTTCATTTAATCCTTAATACTTTATGTTATGCATTAAAATCTATAAAAAGATATGTATATCGTCGTGCTCTTTTATAATACAAAGAGGAAATAATGGACATAAAAGTTGTTGGGGTGATCGTAAAGAACCCACCAACCTGTTATGGATGAACTTTTCCATTGTTACGTCTGATAAATAATTTGATAATGAGTTTCAACACTTGAAATAAGTATTAATTTATATTTAAATATTAATTCCGGAAAGGGGATTCCGGAAAGTTCCTGATAAACCTATCAGGAACTTTGTTATATCAATAATATTTATAGAGGCATTAATAATGTATATATGTATATCAAATCATGTACAAATAAATATCGTATAGATAGAAAACCAAGACATTTTATAGAAATTTTATAGAAAAATAGAAAATATAAAAAAATGGAAAAACTTTTCAAATAAAACTTTGGTTTTTGTC